GTCCTTGCTCCCCCTTGCTGTAGCATTTGTGTTGCACCTCAATGATCTGAATGTTGGAACACAGTGTTTTGCGGTCGGTCTCTGGCACAGAAGATTCCAGAGTTGATGGGATTCTTTTTATGTGGTGTAGACAAATGCCAGGTGACTTCTGCTGCAATCAAACTTCCCCTCTGGGACAAAGAAATGTCATTTATGTGCAATATGTGAACTGTATAGCAGTGACAGCAGTGTTTACACACAGACAGCCATGGATTCAATCACTAAATGTATTAATAAACGATTAATCAGAGACAGTTGGAGGCAGATAATTACATAAATTATGCTGCACACTGTACATCACACTCCCCACATCCAGTAATTATCCCTTTGTTCCGACGTCCATCACAATCTTGCTGTCACAATCTCAGCGGAGACAGTAAATTCTGCAGTTTCCTGTCACATTGCAGATTTCCTCCTCCACTATCCATCAGCAGTTCTGCAGCAGGGGGCAGAGTGTGACATGTCACAGCCAGGTGTGTGTGTGGAGCTTCCTACAATGTTAAAATCTGTCCAAAGGATAAATGGATTAAGGCAGAAAAACACACTGTTTGCCTGACCTCACAACACATGCACACTGTCATCTTTTAAGACCTGCTGGCCATATGCTGACAATTAGGCATGTGCAGTCTAGGTGTGTCTATGTGAAATGGAGAAATGCGGATGGATCCAGCTCTGCACGGCTCCACCGCTCATTCTGAAAAATGCTCAAAGCCAGAGCTGAGCCCTCCCTGTGAGGCTGCGATGACTCATCCGCTATTCTATATGGGCTGCTCTCTCCACCACATTAAATTGCTGCACATGTCCTCGTGCGTGTCTTTCTGAGGTCATACCTGCTGTTGGTCGCATTAAAACTCCCAAACAATATGCCTCCGAGTATGAGTCGCACACACTGAAATAATGACACGAGTGTTATTTATAACCCTGTCCGATCTGCATCTTTTACTTTCCTGTAAAGTGCTGCAGTCAACAAAGTCACATGATGTGAAACATCTGCTTCCTCCAGATAGGAAGTTTGAAATTTCTGAATTCCCCAAAACAAACCAGAAGAGAAGTAGAATTTACATATATATGTGTGTATATATGAAAAATCATCATCATCATTCTGATAAAAGTAGGGGTGTAACACAAAGAGAGGAACACGTTGTTTCTGCGTGCTGCTTAAAGCCACAGCACAACACTGCTGTAACAAGGATGCCTGCAAATGTTAGTTTGTATGATTCTTTCTTTCACTATCGTATGATATGTTTATATAACTGTTTGACTGCTTTCTCTGATGAAACCCTCAAACTTCAGCTACTTTTCCTCTTTAGTTCAAATAAGACTGGATGACTTTGATCTTGAACACCCACCCACCCCCCACTGTGAAATATTTTAAAGTGGACCCATTAGGCTTTACCTTTTTTGTTACTTTCAGAGGTGGATGTTCATATTAAACATGGCAACATTTCAAATAATAAAGCCAGTGTACAATAATCCCTGTGAGCTTCACTGTTTTTCTACTCTTGACTCTCTGTGATGTCAGAGAGAGGATGGCCTTAATCAGCTTTGTGTATCTTCTGTTATAAAGTCCTGATCTGTTACTAGTGTTTATTTAAAAGGTTGCATTTGTCACTGTGAGGAAGCTGCTTTATATTTAAGGCAACATCAGGCTCGACAGAAAAAATGCTCAAACAACTTATAATAAATCCACCCAAGAGTCTTTATTTTCTGAATTTGTGCATTTACCTTATTGACTTAATTGATTTGCTCTCGTGTTATCACAGCTCAGTGTTTCTCCTGTAGCTGCTCTCCCTCATGTATGTGAGGTGAAATATGCCAGGTGAGGCCAAAAACCGACCAACTGTTAAGTTACACTGGCTGCAGTTAAGGTGTTGTCAGAGCTTTGCAGTTGTGTCATTTGAAAGTGGTGAACACGTGAGAAGTGGAACGAAAGACGTGATTCCAAACATTTTTACAAATAAATAACTGCAAAGTGGGGTGTGCGTAATTATTCAGCCCCCTGAGTCAATACTTTGTAGAACCA